TAGTTTTAATTTTTGTGCTTTGCAATGAGTTGGTTTTGTTGTAAGCCACCTAGAGCAGTGGTCACCAACCAGTGGGCCGGGGACCACTGTTGGTCCGCCAGAAAATTTTGGTGGTCCGCAGAGAAATGCCCCCCCAAAGCAACTCTCCCCCCAAAGCAATTAGTCCAGGCTGCAGGGGAACACAAGGCTGCGCCACCCACATGGCCCCCACCCTTCAGCCAGGCGCAAACCTTGAGTAGAGCCAGGCGAGCTGGAACTGGAAGTTAAGACCAATGGCGAGGGAGGAAAATCCACCCCAGGATAGCTTGGTGACGTTGGTGGGAAAGTCGGTCCCCTATTCCAGAGCTGCAGGAGTCACAGGACTGGCCCTTTGGTCATCCCGGAGCAGCTCCTCCAGTCCATGGCAGGCCGGTGCACCTGGGTGGAGGAGCAGCTGCTCCGGGATGACCAAAGGGCCAGTCCCACCGTCAGCAAGCCACCATCAGTCAAAATTCGTATTAGTGGTCCGCGGTATTTAAAATGATGAGTTCAGTGGTCCCTGAGGTCCAAAAGGTTGACGACCCCTGACCTAGAGTCATGTGGGAGTTGGGCAGCTTTTAAATTAAAAGCTAAAGAGCTAAATGTTCTGTTTTGTTATTCACTGAGCTCTGGCTGGGATAATTAACAAATACTGAAAATAAATCAAAATATCCACAAATAATTTCTGAGCTAATTTTAAGGGCTACCCATACCAAAGTAACTGGCAAGAGTAGTTACTAATGCAACTTTCAGTATATGAAGCTTTTGCAGGGACATCCTAAGACATAGGCACCAAAAAGAGAAGAGGGGCAACAGAATTAAAGTTTCTAGGACTGTGCAATGCTTCAGAAACAATTCCGAAAAGATTCTTAGAAGTGTCCAGGAGCACAAACAGACGTAACATCAGCAATTATATAGACTAGCCCCCGTTTTCTTGGGATAGTATCATGGGCTGGAAGGGAGCTTGCAGGTCCTTTAATCATACCCCATGTCCAAGGCAGGAGTCCTTATTCCATCCCAGACAAATGGCCATCCAATATCTGCTTGGAAACCTCCAGTGACGGAGCAGCTACCACTCCGGGAGGCAAATGGTGCCACGGATGAATTGCTCTCGCTGTCAGAAAATTCTTCCTTTCCAGGTTATTTCCAGGTTAAATATCCTCCCTCACCGTTGCTTCCTGTCCTGCCTGTAGGTGTTGGAGAATAAATCAATGCCCCCGTTCCTGTGACAGCCCTTCAAGTAGACAGTCCTCAACTTGCAACAGTTCGTTTAGTGTCTGTTCAAAGTTACAGCGGGATAAAAAAGTGACATGTCCGTTTTTCACACTTATGACTTTGCAGCATCTCCATGACCATGTGGTCAAAATTGCAATGCTTTCGTATTACGACGGTCGGACAGACGACGTGACTCCCCTGAGGTCATGTGATTTCCTTTTACAACCTATAGACAAGCAAAGTTAATGGGGAAGCCAGATTCACTTAACAACTGTGTTACTAAGTTAATAATTTCAGTAATTCACTTAACAAACTCTGGCAAGAAAAATCGTAAAATGTATTATTCTGGAGACAGGTTTCAAAGCAACTTACTGCTTCTGAGGGGTTCAGAAATGTATCATTTCCATTTGTTGGGAACTTAGGCAATTATTATTTCCAGTTATTCCACAGACTTTCCTGGCAGCAAATCAGCTCTAAGGAGATATTTGCTTCTATTAATGACGATTTAACCTAGCAGAAAAAAACACCCACGTATTTGGAATCTGCACTCCTCTTAAATGAAGGAAAATAAGAGTTCAGCCCTTGTGTCTCAATTACAGGCCATGCCAGAAGTTACAGAGCTCTTTGGTGAGGCCTCCAGACCTGACTTATCCTGCAACGGAGCTTTTGCCCTCTATAATAAAGACGTATCTAATTGCACACCCCACTTGTTATTTCTCTCAGATGTGTTATGATTATAGATTTCTCTCAGGCTCTGCATATGCATCTTTCAAAAGACACACATCAAAGACACAATACTGGTGAAACAGCGTCATTTCTGGGTATTTCTACCACCCCACCCATCTCCGGAGGCTCTTGTTGGAATGGACAAGAGGCTGAAATCAAAGGCAGGTATTTAAGAACATTGGGGGGGGGGGGCTTAAGCCTTTGCTTCTTGTAGTGTCTTTTGTGTTCTTCTGCCTATTCATTAGTAGCGCAAGGCTTACAGCTGTTTAAATGACACACCGCTGGTTTCCTTGCATCTGGAGTATTTCAAAATCCATCACTGTTTTTAAATATTTCTGCAAACAGACATGCGTCTCCTAGATAAAGTACTGTATAACTCCAGCCTTTTTCAACCCAGGCATTCTGTGGGGCTGTTCCCGGGAACAGAAATCTCACCTCTCAAAGTCTAACTTCTCTTGCAGGAAAGTGGCTTGACCGAGTTAATACTACGGTGCTCAGAATCCGGGAAGCTTCTCAACTTCCCACCTAGCCCACCGTAGCCAGCTACCTTAGGCCACCGAGTGAGAAACGGCAATCGACAATTGTAATCAAAGAATATATCCTGATCTTCTTGGAGTAAAATCACCCAGTAACTCCCAAATGCGTGACAGCCACTGCACTGTAGCTCAGCTATGAATGACAAGGTTCCTCCCAGGATCTGCACGCTTCACCTCGTCTCCAGATGGCTGTGCAGATGGAGCAGGGCTACTTTTCAAAGACGCCATGAGATCCTGGCTGTGGTCAGCAGACGAGCGCCATGATTCTGTCCTACCCTCACGGCCTTCCCCAGCTTTGGCATCCTCCAGGTGAATGGACTTCAACTCCCAGAATGCCTCAGCCAGCACAGCACAGCACAGGACATGCTCACAGCCTTCCAGAAAGCTGCGTTTCCAAGAGCCTCTGCAGTGACAGCAGTCAATAACCATCTGAGAGCAAACTCTGAACTACCAAGTTGGTGTTCCTACCTGGCTGACAGCATACAAAATGCCAGCAAATCCACACAGCTTTCCTCATGTTTCCTTGGGATTTAGCTGGCTCAAATCTCTCACACAAATCTTTCCTGGAGATGGCAGGATTAGCCACAAAGCCCTGACTCCTCTTCTACCCAGAAGCTGCCACATTTATGGTCGCCCATAATAACACTGCCAGTCCCACATCTGTGGGAGTTGGGAGCCAGAGCTGCTCAGGCAGCAGCGCCAAGTCAGCTGAGATCTGATGCCAGGAAAGGGGATGTTCAGGGAACGCTTAGAAGATCCACCTCTCTCAAAGCAGAGCAGCCAAGGAACCCCCCCAGGATGGCTGACTTCTTCGCCAAGCCCACCCAAGGGCAGCCCTGAGTCGCTTCCACCTCCTCAGGACTGGCCACAGGCAACCAGAAAAGCCGAGAGGGAGAAAGAGAAGCCTTGAGAATGGAAAGGTGGGGTTGGCAAGCAAGCGGGCTTCCAATCTACCCGCTTCCCATAGAGCTGGCTTTGCATAAACGAACCCTGGTTTGTGTAGCCATGGTTTACTGAATAAGCTACAAGTAAGCTGGGTCTACACATTGGGTAAATCATAAGCCGTGTTTTATAGACTGGGGTGCTGGGACTACAGGAGCCTTCCGGCCATAAGTAAGTGGCCCAGATTAGAGCTTAGCCAAGGTTTGAACCCATGCCTGAGGGTTGCCCAGCGTTCCTCTTTCATCTGGGTAAAGGGGAGCAGGTTGAAAATGTCCCTGGCATCCTAAACAAGGCTACTCTCTCTCTCTCTCTCTCTCTCTCTCTCACACACACACACACACACATACAGAAATCTGCAGGCAGCTTATTCTGAAGGAGTGTGAGGTGGGCAGACCTCCTTCCCTGCAGAGAAGCCCCTCACCCTCACTGGAGAAGGGCAGCTGACAGGATTCCCTCCCAACGGACTTCTGCATCTTACGCTGGGCACCTCCTGGAGCTGCTTCTGGGGAAAGGGCTCATCCTGCCTAGAAATGTCCACTGCTCAGGAGTGAGAAACATGCCACGCCATCTGGGTCTCAGGCAAACGTTTGAACAAAATACCCTGCCTATTATATGTTTACGAAGCTCAGGGAAGGATGGGTCCTCCAGAGACGTGGCCTGTCCTGGGGTTCCACGCACGCAAGGTGCTCTGCCTCTGCTCCCCGAAACAGGCCCTACAAGCAGAGCTCCTGGGAGCGGTGAGGTTGGCGGTACCCACGAAGGATGCCTCTCTGCAGGCGGGACGCGGCCTCCCTGGGCACCTGCGTCCCCAGACTCCCACCTCAGGAGAGACGCGGCGTCTCCAGCCCTTCCCAGGGGAAGCCAGGCCAAAGCAGCAGCCCAACCGTCCACCAGGGAGCCCCACTGGGTTTCCCACACGACCAACCTCCCGGCCCACTTCGCTCGTTCCCGCACATCCCGGCCCAGGAGCCTCAGGAAGCCGCCCCCGCGGGAGGTTTTCCCCCACATGACCCAACTCAAGCCACGGAAGCATCAAGGCCAGGACGTGCCCGAGGCGCCTCGCCCCCAGCGCCAGCCGCGGGGACGCCCCACTTGCACCGCCGGCGCCTTAACCGGGCTCTGCAGACACCGGGGCTTCTGACGTGGGCAGACCGCGGCGTCCGACCAGGCGCCCTCTCAGAGCGCTGAGCCGGGCCTTCAGCCCCGCAAGAGCCGGCGGGACGCGGAGACGCGGGGCGCAGAAGCAGGCGAGGCTCCCCCCTCCTCGCCCTTCCCCGCCAGGGATGCAGAAGCCCACCCACCCGCCCGCCCGCCCCCGACGGCTGCGGGGCGGCGGTCCGGCGTGTCCTCGCGGTCTCCCCATCGAAGCGCCCCCGAGCGGAGCCCGCGAGGCGGACCTGAGACGGCCGCCAGCCCCGCGCTCGCTCCGGTGCAGCCCAACGCCGCTCCATCGCCATCTTCCAAGGGGGCCCAGCCCCCCCCCCCCCGCGGCTGCCCGAGCGAGGGGCCGGCCGGCCGGAGGGAGGGAGGAAGGGGCGACGGGGGGCTCTGGGCGCCGCTTACTTTTGATGGCCCCGATGAGCGCGTTGCCGTCCTTGACCACGTCCTTCAGGAACCGGTTGGTGCGCTCCAGCTCCTGCTCGGAGCACCGCAGCCGCTCGCGGAAGGCCGGGCTGTCCAGGTAGCAGTCGCTGAACTCCAGCGCCGGGAGCCCCATGGCCGCCCCGCCCCGCCCGCCCGTCCGCCCGCAGCCTCAGCCCTGGCGGCGGCGGCGCGCTCGCATCCCGCGGCGGAGGGGCCGAGGCGGCTGCGGCGGCGGCCGGCGGGGCCTCCTGGCAGGACGGGCGGCGCTTCGGCGGCTCCGCATCGGCGGCTGCGCCTGGGCCGGCTCTGAATGAAGCGAGTGGGCGCGGGCTCCGGTCCCTCCCCCGGCGGGCCGCCCTTTGTTTGCGGCGGCTGGCGCCTCCTTCGCGGCCGCTCCCCTTAAAGTCGCAGGCGGCGCTGCCGGGCCCCCGCGTGGCCGGCTCTGGCCCCGCCCGCCTTCCAGCTGCGACCCCGGCCTCGCCAGCTGCCGGCAGCGGAGAGGGGAAGCCGGCCCGCCGCCTCGCCGCCACCCGAGAGGCCTTCAGGCTGATTCCGGCACGGGCGGCCGCCCCTCGGCTGCCTCGGCCAGGAAGCCTCGGAGGGGCGCTCCGTCCTCGGCGCAGAACGAGGCCTGGGAGGGGACGGGCGGACTCTCCTCCGCCTGCCGCTCTGTGGACGGGCTGGGTGGCTAGGCAGGAGGCGGGGGAGCTCAGTCGGGGCCCAGCCAGCTCTGGGACAGCAGCATCCCCGTCTGCCCCCAAGGCCCGGGCAGGTGCCTTCTGACCAGCGGGCAAGGGGCTCCCAGCCAGCCTTTGGCTCCAGGGGCAGAAAGCGGTGCCCGGAGGAGCCGAGCGGACGGTACCCGAGGCCTTGCCTCCCCGCTGCCTCCCTCCGGCCAGAGTTCGGGCCTGGCACCAGCTCAAAACGGGGCCGAACCTCGTTCCCCAAACTGGGTCCAGCTCCCCTTCGAAGGGAAGCCGCTGCCTTGCATCGTCTGAGCTGCGCCAGGAGCCCCGGCGGGAGAGCTGCCCGGCCTTCCGCTCGCCTCTCTGGGAAGCAGGCGCTGGCCAAAGAGGCAAAAAGGGAAGCCATGAAAGTCCCACTCTGGGCTGGGATGGAAGCAACACCATTGGCGGGCCGGGATGGATCCTCCTTGGGTGCTGCTGCTGCTGCTGAGGCGTCCCATTCCCAGCCTTCCCAGCCATGGAATAGAGGGGCCCCAGTCCGGCTTTTGCCCCTGGAGGCTGGCCTCCCCCGCTGGCCTGGGCCCAGCCTTCCATCCTGGGCCAGGAGCTCCAGAGCAGCCATGGCCATACAAGGGTGCTGGCGTTCCTAGGCAACAGAGCCAGGCAACCAAGTTGCTAGGCAACCAAGCTACAGATTAATGCCACTTTAAACCAGCAAGTTGAAGGAATCCAGGCAGCCAAGCACAGCCACTTTGCGTGAACAAACCCTTTTTTTATGCCATGTACAAATCTTGGCCTGCTCAGCAGGAGTTAGGAGCACAACCCTGGGAGACCCACTTCCTGTATTGGGGGTGGAGGCAGCCGGACCGTTCAGTTGATGGCTTGTAGAGTCCAATTCTGGTCACCGTGATACCAAAAAGATGCTGAGGCCCTGGAAAGTGTGCAGAGAAGAGCAACAAAGACAATGAGGGATTTGCAGGCTAAAGGCGATGATGATCGGTTAAGGGAGCTGGATACCTGTAGCCTATTGACGAGAAGGACGGGGGCGAGACACACGCTACCTCTCTTCCGGCACTTGAGGGGCTGTCATAGAGGGAGAGGTCAACTTATTCTCCAAAGAACCTGAGGGTTGGACTACAAGCAATGGGTGGAAGCTGAATAAAGAGAGATCCAGCATGGAACTAAGGAGAAAACTGCTGGACAGTGAGAACAGTCAGTGGAACAGCTTGTCTCTCAGGGTTCTGGAGGCTCCGTCACTGGACGCTTTCCAAAAAAGGTTGGACAACCATTTGTCCAGGATGGAATTAGGCCTCCTGCCTTGGACCGAGGGCTGGACTAGAAGACCTCCAGGATCCCTTCCAGCCTTAGGATTCTAAGTTCAACCCATCTTCTCCCTTGCCTGCTGGACAAGAAGAGGGAAACTGGGTTCTCCTTACCTTTGCGGCCCTGAGGCAGGAGAGAGAGGAGGTGCCACTTCCCGGCCTCTCCCCGATGGAGGCCCCAGGAAAAGCTCCAGAGGTTGCAAACTGTGGTCAGGTTTGAAGGCACAGCCTGATCCTGGAGGTCCCATAATTCCCCGCAGGGACCAGCTTTTGAGAGAAACCTCCATTGGAAGACGGGACCACCAGGCTTGGCAGAGCAACAAAAACTCTTGGCCCCGAGCTTCTCTTCTCTGACCATCTCTCCATGCTTTGCAATTAGCCTGTGTTTGAACTATTTTTCTTCAAAAGACAGGTCTTAAAGAGAAGACACTTTGGTGTCTCTGAACTGGGGGTGGGGGGGAATTCTACCTGTTCGGCCCAGTTCGGGCGAACCGGCAGCTCTGACGATCAGCTGTTGGGCCCACCCACTTGCCCAGCCTCTAGGCTGTGCTTTATATCCTGTTTTTCAAGCTCGGCTGATTTGCACGGCACAGCAGATTGCCGCGCATCAGCTGTTTAACGCACAGGGATTGCCGGGGAAGGTCAGTAGCCAATGCTCTGTGCGCAAAGCAAACTGGTTGTTACTCCGGATGAATCGCACCCCTGCTCTGAACTCTAAAGGTGTCTGAACTGTAGCAACTTCGAAACATGGACTTGAGAAATGCCGCTGTAAGTAATCCCCTCATTTGAGGCTTTATCAAAACCCTGGATTGGGAGGAGTTAAGAGGCTTTCTTGACTAGGATTCCCGTATCATTTCATCAATGAGAGTGGTTTAAAAGACTGGGATTGGATTGGATCGAGTTGACTGATTTAGCTGTAGGACGGCTTGTGGTTTGAATGAGCTTGTAACTGGTTTGCTTGTCAGATCACAAAACTAACAATGGTTTACTACAATCTATAGCAAGTAATTGGACAGAGCTACACGTCACATAGATATATGGGACTGCAGTAGAGTGCAAGTGTCATCATGTGGAACGTGGAATTGTTGCACAAATGCCATAAATTATGTGTTTTGTGCCCAACGCATGACATCCTCCAGGGTCTCCCAGTCTCCCATACAACAGCATACAAGTGCATAAGCGCACCAACGTGCCTACCGTCCCTGTCCTATTGTTTCTTTTATATTTTTTCATTTTTCTTATATGTATCCATGTATTCATAGCAATGTTTTTACTTATACCTATTATCTTGTAAGCAATTGACAAATAAAAATAAATAAATAAACAGCAATTTGAGGCAACCAAGGAGCAAGTCACGGGGCCTTTAACAAGCAACAAAAAGCCAGTTTTGTTTTCCATAATACTCTGGAAATTGGTGTGTCTATGTGCAGAAAAACTTTTGTGATGTGACGTTTACAAAGTAAGAGGAGCAAAGGGCTTCTGAGTAGTGCAAAAGTGCTTCTCCAGCAAGCGGCAGATTTTTGAAATGGGAAAATCGATGTCTGTGCCAACACTGAATGTTGAAACAAAAACAAGGAAATCATAAAAAGGCCAAGGCCTTTCCCTTCTCCGTGCATTTCATCTCATCTCTGTGGGGAAATGTCTTGTCAGGAGAACGTTATCCCGGCCAAGGCAAGACAGCATCTGTTTTTTCCCACTCCACCCAAACTACTCTCAAGAGAAATGTCTCAGCGTCCAACTGGCTTGGAGAAGTAAGGAAGGATCCTGTGATTGCTGATTTCCTAATGCCTTGGGCCCGGTTCTTCTGCCAGCTGCCTTACAATAACATCCTGAAGACAGAAGTGTGTGGCTAACAAATCTGGGTTCTTCCTTGCCCCAAAGCCCCTGTTTGGGGAGGGGGGTAAGACTGACTCACAGTTCCACCTACCTTCTGCTTCGCTCGCAGCTTGACAAGGAAGAGGGTGGAATGGAATGCAAGGGTGGGGAGAATGGCACCCAAGCGTCCATCGGTTCTCATGAGACGTTGCTTCCTCCAAGCAAATGTCCCAGTGCGGCTGGCGGGCTCCCATAACAAAATGAGCAGAAGTGATAAGGGTCCATTATGGGAAAGTGGGGAATGAACTATGCATGCTTTTGAGTGGGAAGTCCAGAACTGGTTTCTTCTGTCCAATATGGATTTATTCAGTAGAGTTTGTACTCTTCATAAAATAACATCCCAAGAGTTTCTTTTTATGGATTTGCCAACTGAACAATTAACATTTAATCAGCTCTCTAACTTGGGCCCCACCAGGAGGTTGGCAGTTTTGAGATGCCGGCAACTGACAAAGGAATAGAACGGGGAGGCAAAGCCAGGGGATGCGTCACTCCTCCAACGATGGCCCAGGGTGAACTCAGGATGTAAGCAGCTGGCACACACCTCAGACAGTGCATTGAGAAGCCAGAGTAACAGGCCATACTCAAGGGGGAGAGAGCGATAGAGGGACGCTATTTGGGCACCAAGAGTTGGCGGGCAAGCTATTTGTGGAAGGCGGTGGAGCCACGGTGACCCTAGGGAGCAAGTGGAAGGCTAGGTGAGCAACCAAATGGGATCACCCAACCGAGAGTAAGTTCCCAGCTACAGCTCACAGCCCATCTATGGAGCAGCTGAGAGAGAAGTTTGGGGGGCTGGAGATCCGGGAGCCACCTCACCAAGGGCAGCAATCAGAGGAATTTGGGTGAAGGCCATGAAATCGTTGCCTACCCCGTCTCCTCCCCTCCTGCAGCCGATGCTGCCAACACCACCCGGGGTGGTGAGAACCCCCTACCAAACAACAGCGACACCCGTCCCTGCTGCTGCCCCACTGTGGGTGTAGGTGCCAGCACACGCAGCCCCAGTAACAGCCGGTATCCCTGTTCAGGCACCCCTGGCAACAGTGTGGTTGCCACCTGGGTATGTCCTAGTGTCTCTAGCAGTCCGGTTCAATGGACAACCCAAGAACTTGGCCCACTTCCTGACCCAGGTCTGAAACTATATGGAGCACCATAGAGCGATGTACCTGGACGAGCATGTTTGGATCAATGCCGCTGCATCAAATCTGGAAGGGAACGCAGTGGGGTGGCTGGTGTCTGTCCACAACAAGGAGGCTCCGGAGCTGCAAAACCTGGATGCTTTCATGCAGGTGTTGAGAGATTTGAAAACTCCACAGCAGCCCATGAGCAGCAACCCATATCTGCTCCCTACAGCACTGCAAGAT